GGTTTAACCACCAAAAAAACCGCTAGTCAACTGGGGAGCAGCTCAGGTCAAGGATGTTCGATCCAAGAAGCTTGATGAGCTGACGGGAAGCCGCTGGAGCTCTGGCTTGGAGGCTCATATTACAGAGTTACTATATTGGGAGTATAATTTAGGGTTTGGGGTTCTATTGGGGTCATATTTGGGATAATGGAAAACAAATTGGAAGCTATTGTTGACTGTCTTGGGTTTAGACTTTAGGGTTTAGGGACATTACCCCCAATAATGGAGAAGCAAGTGGAAAAGAAGATGGAAATGGTTTTTGGAAACTGGGATGGTAGGATGGTTAGTAGGGATAAGGGTTATGTGAGCTGTATGTAGCCTGAATTCCGTAAAGGGGGTGCATACAGAAGTATTATGGGGTTTATAACATGAAGGGCGATACTAGGAGTTAAGATTGCGCAGATTAAAGGGTTATATATATATATCGGGGCTATATGGGATAATGATAAAGAAAATGGACACTGCTAGGACAAGGAGGGTACCACAGCTGGCCTATATGAACTGTAGTCTAAACTCCTGAAACGGAGTTATATGGGGGATTATATAGTGGAGCAGCATAGGGGTTATTAAGGGGATTTAAGGGGGATCCTAGGAGTTTAGACCATAGCACATATTAATAGCAGTGCCTAGAACTGCAACTACAGCCCTGGGGAGTTTAGATTATGGCTCATAGAATCCCAGTTTCCATCTCATTGTCCACTTGATTCTTGGGGTAGTATACTTCAAACCCCAAATCTTAACCTGAACTTGTAGTTTCCATTTTGTTTTCCATGTGCGTTTCCATGTGAATCTCCATGATTATCCATCGTGTCCCTAAACCCTCAAAGGTAGCGTCCTCTTCTTTTCCGTTCCCCTATGTAGGCCTAGAAAACCCGGATGTAGCCTCCATATATGATCCTTATTTGAGTAGTTTCCATTCTCATGTCCATGCCTTCAGGCCCTACCGGCCCCAGAGCCCATGGACTCTAAACTGCCGGGTGCAAGCGGCAGCTATTAGTATACAGGGTTCCTGCACGCTTACGACAATTTCTTGTGGTACCCTGAACCTTCTAAAGCACATTTGTGCCAAGCGGCAACTTGATTCCTTCACATGCTGCCTCTGCCATAAATCAAATGGTAGTTTCCCAAAATAAGGGGACCCCAATATAGACTCCAATATACTATAATCCTTATTATGGGGACCCCAAAAATGGTACCCCTAATTTTGGGAAACCCCCAAATAGACTTAGCTAATATCATGGCATGAAGCTTGGGCGCAGGCAGATCGGTTTAAGCCCAAGGGCGCGTTTGTCGGGAACTCAGCTGGAAGTTGCATATGAGTACATGTAGCCCCAATTAGATACCTACAGCTTAGCAGTAGTTATCCCTGAATTAATAGGTATATACTCCATAAATCTGTAGGTAGTTGGGGTTACGGGTATGCTTGACTGGGATATAACGCATGGATTTTGGCAGAGTTCGCATGTTTTGTGATCGTGTCCCTAGAGTATCATACAGTCAGCACCCATTTGTTTTTATGGTAGATGAGGGGCCTTTGTACTCTGGAGTTAAACCCAAAACCCTGACCCATGAGCACGCTGTGAGACGGGAGGATCCATGCATAAGCATCTTGAGAATCTCTTAGCAGGGAAGGGGGTGATATAGGGGAGTAATGTATCGATTATTCAGAAGGATACTTGGATTTTCATTTGATTTTAGGAAATTTAGGGTTATATGGGAGCTACATAGGGGTTTTATGGGCTTGTTTAGGGGAATGGAAAGAAAATGGAAGCTGCCATTTTAGGGTTTCGGGAAATCATCATCATCACTCGTTTGCCTGATTCTGGCCAGGAGTGCCCCGCCGATGCGCGCGTCCAGGTGGGCTTTAGCCGCCCTGTCGTCTTGGAAAGGTCGGCCGGGCAGCAACTGACAGTCAAAATTGTTTATGCGATGTGCAGCAAAAGATGCTTTAAGAATATTAGGGCCCCCATTAGCCCCATTCCACGGACGACGCATTGGGGGACGCGACAGAAAAGGACCATATCAGGGGCCGTGTCAAAAAGTGTGAGCGGGCATGAAGCGGTCGGTCTAGAATCTAGAAGTCTGGGGAAGAGGTGCCCGAACCCGCATGTTAACATCTGCCTATGTGATTTGCTCCCTTGAGACGGTTAGGAGT